CCTTCTGGGTTCAAGTGATTCTCCTGCCTCAGCCTCTCAAGTAGCTGGGATTATAGGCGCCTGCTACCATGCCCAGCTAATTCTTGTGTTTTTAGTAGAGACAAGGTTTTACCACATTGGCCAGGCTGGTCTGGAGCTCCTGACCTCAAGTGATCCACCCGTCTCGGCTTCCCAAAGTGCTGGGGTTACAGGCATGAGCCACTGCACCCGGCCAGAAAATTATTATAGGGATTTTAAAACAAAAGTCTTGCAACAAATTATATAAATAACACTTTACCTTTATTAAGTGCTTTTCAAAAAATGACATCAAGACCACCCTGGACTGCCAGCATCCTTGCTGTCCTATTCACATTCTGTCTTCTAAATCCAAAAATGAAAGCTGATTAGTAATGAACATGGCACTTAATATTCCCTAAATGTTTAAATGGCCACCTATTATAAGGTCTTTAAATATTTAAATGGTCACCATAAATGATCACCTTATAATAGGCGACCATTTAAATAGTTCTTTTTTTTTTTGAGTGAAAAAAGAGTACTTAGACATTAGAGGTGTTAGATGCATACTGCTTTCTGAAACATTGATAAAAGGCGGAAAATATGTACATCCTAGAATTTAGGAAATGGTTGTTTTTGGGGGCTTTCTCTTAATCATTTGTCAGATGAATTGGGTGATTCTAGAAGGTTATTGCTGTACTTGTATTTTGGGAGTGATAGGGAGGTAGCAGTATATTCTAACCAAATTTATTCCATACAAAATCTGTTACATTTTACAAGTACTTGCAAAACTGAAAGTCATACCCTACTCAAAATTTCCTTGTTAATTTTACTGTCATTGCTTTACTCTTTGTATTAAAGTCAATGAAATTGTCAAAAGTGAAGAGACTGGATTATCAAGATACAGTGAATGGAAAGGGATGCCAAAACCACAGTGTTTATAAATTGAATTTGTCACCATTTGAAATTTGTTTGTTTAATCTTCAGGAGATTTCACCAAAATGATGTATGTCTTGCTGATGATGTCTTTCATATAATTCTAGACAAATTAACTAGAAATGAATGTATATAATTGATATAGTTTGGATATTTGTCCCCTCCAAATCTCATATTGAAATGTGATCCCCAGTGGTGGAGGTGGGGGCTGGTGGGAGGTGTTTGGATCATGGAGTCAGATCCCCCATGAATGCCTGGGTGCTTTCCCCACAGTAATGAGTGCACTGTCACTCTGTTAGTTCATGAAAGAGCTGGTTGTTTAAAGGAGCCTGGTACTTTCTCCTCTCGCACATACTTCCTCTCTCACCATGTGACATGCTTGCTCTCTGTTCCCCCTTCACTTTCTGTCACAAGTGGAAGCTTTCTGAGGCCTCATGAGAAGCTGAGCAGATGCTGGTGCCATGCTTATACAGGCTGCAGAACCGTGAGCCAAGCAAACCTCTTTTCTTTATAAAAATTACCCGGCCTCAGGTATTCCTTTATAGCAATGCAAAACAGACTAACATATTACTTGTACTATAGAACTAAAAGTTGGTTAAAAATTCAGTTTCAGAGGCCTGTCTTTCCTAGGTTAAAATTCTGACTCTGCTGCTTCATTGATGTATGACTTTGGACAAGTTACTAAATCTCTTTGGGCTCTGGTTTCCCCCAGCCCTAAAATGAGGATGCCAGTATTCCTTGTGGAGTCATCTAAAGGCTTAATACTGGTAAAGAACTTACAGTAGTAAAATGCCACATAATAAGCATTTAAATATTAGCTATTGTTTTTATTATTATAAAAATAAGAGTTTATTATTGAGGTCAATGTTAGGCTTAAACACTAGAGTACTAAGGTCATGTAATTTCCTGGTGACTGGCAATTTAAAGATGAGATATACCACATGTGAATTGGTATAATAAACCATTTAATGGTGTATTAGACAACATTTATGTGTACTATACAACAGTATACTTCCAATTCCTTTCTCTCATCCTCTGTGCTATTGTTACGTGTTTTACTTTTACATATTCTATAAAGACACATTACATTTCTTCTCTTACTGCTGTAGACTGCTAGTTATCTTTCACAGTGTTTAAAAATAAGAAAAATGCTTTTATGTTTACCTTCATTTATGCCATTTCCAGTATTCTTATTTCTTTATGGAGGTACATGTATCTCTAATGGCATAATATTTCCTCCAGCCTGAGGTACTTTTTTGTGTTCCTTTTTTGCTGGTAATGACTTCTCTGTTTTTGTTTCCATCTCCCCCAACAACAACAAAAAAGAAGCAAAATACATTTTCTTTTTGAAAGATATTTTCACCAGGTACAGGACTTATGGTTGAGTTTTTTTCTTTTAGTGCTTTCAGCATTTCACACCATTGATTTCTGGCTTACATAAGTTTTGATGATAAATCAGTTATAATTTTTTGTTTCTTTCAATGTAATTTTTTTTGTTTTTTTTTTCTTCTGGCTTTCTTAAACTTTTTTTATTTTTGGTTTTGAGAAGTTTTCAATATAATTTATCTAGTTGGTTTTTGGGATTAGAAGTGTAATCTATTCTGCCTGTTCTCTGAGCTTCTTACTATCTGTGGTTTTGTGTCTATTTGTTTTGAAAATCCCCAACCTTGTCTTCTCCTTAGATATTTCTTTTGCCCCATTCTCTTTTTTTTTTTTTTTTGTAGGATATCAGGATTACGTGAATGTTACGTCATTGACATGATCTCACAGCTCTTGGGTTTTCTGTTCTGTCTACCTTCCCCTGCTCGCTGTCCTCACATTTTCCGCCTCTCTTATGCAGCTCTTTTGAGTTTACTCTTGAGCTGTTCCAAAGCATTCTTCAACTCCGTTAGCATATTTTTCCTTTGTCTCTGACAATATATTGGAGTTTTCCTTTTTCTTTCTGTGACTTAAAATTTATGGTTGAAATATAAGTGTTTCATATAGGACAGAAGAGACTGAGCCAAGTAGTATCCTTTTTCAGCTTGGGAGGTTGAGTCATTATAGTCTGTAGTTAAGCTTAATTTTGGTCTTGTTGCTATGGTTACCCTCAGTGCTATATAGGCTTCAATTTCCATTCTAGGGTTAATTTTTTTTTTTTTTAAGGGGTTTGGGCTCTTTCTTAGAGATTTTTTCTAATGTTTGCTCTACCCTCAACTTTTGATCTTACCTTCTATTTGTTGTCACACTGCAGAGAAGGTCTCTGTCCACAAACTCTTCTTCCCCTCCAGCTGTATACTATAGTTATTTATTCCTCAGTGCTTGCTAGCGGAAGGGTGGACGGTGGGGAGTGGTAGGGAGGGGACGCTCTCTGTAGTCCCATTTCTGTCTCAGTTTTAGGCAGGTGCTGTGTCCCCAGAAATTGGGAGTGGGACCTTTACCATAGATCTTCCTTCTTCCCAGTGGTAGGGGATCTGTAAGGTCTGGGGCCATTATGTTTTCCTGCCCTTCCCCAGGGATAAAGGTGTTTTTGTTTTTGTTTTTCCCTGTTATTTTCTTCTAGTTCGGAGTGGGAGATGGGGCAACTAAAAATAGTTACTGTATGAAGTGTGTTAGTTCTGTTTGGTTTTTTTAAAAATATTTTTAATGTTCTGTAGCTGTTTCCTTTGGCTAGTTATTGCTGGGTTGAGTTATCACTGGCACTAGGATAAATAGTTTTTGACATCAGTTGTCAGGTGTTATTAAATATATAAATATTATTTGGTGAATAGTATATATTTTCAGTTTTCATGTTGACTGTTAAACTTCTCGAATTATTTTTTAATCATGCATTTTTATTGACAGAAATTTTGCCTGACAAATAGTAGGCACTCAACAAAGAATTGTTGAATGAATGAATTTATTGTGATTTCTGTTGTCCCTTTCCTATGCATAGTTCTTCTTTATTTCTGATTACTATAATACTTATTTCTGAGAGTGTTAAAAAATGTTTTTTGGAGTCTCTTTGAATTTCTGAACATTCAGTTAGAGAGTATCTTTTTTTTCCAATCAAAGTAATGTGCATGATTTTTCCAAAGGTTGAAGGAAGTTATGTAATTGCACAAAATTCTTATCACATTATTGTGGCTGTTGGAGGACCTTTGTACTCTCGGACCTTGGTAAGGACTCCCAAGAGAAAGAATAAATAATTCAATTGTGTGAGTCTGTAATATGCAGATACTCCTCTACTTACCCTGGGATTACAGCCGGTAAACCCATTGTAAGCTGGGAATATTGTAAGTTGAAAAGGCATTTCATACACCTAACCTACCAAACATCAGAGCTTAGCCTAGACTGTTTTAAACGTGCTCAGGGCGGGTGCGGTGGCTCATGCCTGTAATCCCAGCACTTTGGGAGGCCGAGGTGGGCAGATCATTTGAGGCCAGGACTTCGAGACCAGCATGGCCAACATGGTGAAATACCATCTCTACTAAAAATACAAAATTAGCCCAGCCTGGTGGCGCATGCCTATAATCCCAGCGACTTGGGAGGCTAAGGCAGGAGAATCACTTGAACTGGGAGGTAGAGGTTGCAGTGAGCCAAAATGACACCATTGTACTCCAGCCTGGGCAACAGGAGCGAAACCCCATCTCAAAAAATAAAAAAAAAATAAAAAATAAAAAAATATGTGTGTGTGTGTGTGTGTGTGTGTATATATATATATATATATATGTGCTCAGAATACTTATATTAGCCTTCAGTTGGGCAAAATCATCTAATGCAAATCACATTTTATAATAAAGTATTAAATATCTCATGTAATTTATTGAATACTGTATGGTTTCTACTGAATGTGTATCACTTTCACACCATTGTAAAGTTGAAAAATCAAATTGGTGACCATCTGTATGTATTTTACAGTAGACAGTCTATTCTTGACTGAGTGCAATAATAAGGTCTAAAAGAGGAAGAAGAGGGAGAAACTTAACATCACTAAAATTAACCAGGGCCTTTTCTGGAAGTGGAGATAAAATTTGTTAAAGGTGATAGCTGCCTCAGATTCCTCAACAACTGAAATGCGTCCTAAGGTTGGCTTTATCATCTTCTTCCAGGTGATCTACTGTTCTTTTGGTGGAACATCCAAAGGGCTGCACTTCAATAATTTAATAGTTGGACTTGTCCTCCTTACAAGAGGCAAAGATGAAGAGAAAGCAAAATGTAAGTACTTTTATTATCTCAAAAATAATACCACATCTATGTATAGAATAATTTATCTCAAAATTCTGATGACAGGTAGAGGATTTGAAGTGACATTTTCCCAAAGAAGATATACAAGTGGCAAATAAACACCTGAAAAAATGTGCAACATAATTAGTCATTAGATAAATATAAATTAAAACTACAGTGAGATACTACTTCACACCTTCTAGAGTGGCTAAAATTAAAAAGCCTGATAATGACAAGTGTTGAGGAGGATGTGGAAAAATTGTAACCCTCATCATACATTGCTGATGGGAGTATAAAGTACTGCAGCAACTTTGGAAACCAGCCTGGCCGCTCCTCAAATTGTTAAACATTGTTACTGTATGTCCCAGCTATTCCACTCCTAAGTATATACCCAATAAAATTTAATACATATGTTTACCACACACACAAAAAAGCTTGTATGGAAATAGTCATAGCATCATTGTTCATGATAGAAAATGGAAACAACCCTAATGTTCACCAGCTGGTAAATGGATAAATAAAACATGATATATCCATATGCTGGAAAATTACTCTGGTATAAAAAGGAATAAAGTACTGATTCATGCTACAGTATGGATGAACTTGAAAACATTTTGCTTAGTGATAGATGTCAGTCACAATAGGTATGATTCCATTTATATGAAATTTCAAGATTAGTCAAATCTACAGTGGCAGAAAATGGTAGATTAGTGGTTGCTGGAGGTATCGGGGAGAGGGAAATGGAGAACAACTGCTAGTGGGTACAGGGTTTCCTTTTGGGTTGGCAAAAATGTTCTGGTGAAAATGTTCTGGAATTACATAGGAGTGACAGTTGCACAACCTTATAAATATACTTTAAAAATCACTGGAATGTTTACTTTAAAAGGGTGAATTTTATGAGATGTTCATTATGTCTCAATATAACTTATTTTTAAAAATTCTGATGACATAGATGTAGTAGTCTGTTCTTTGTTTCACAAACAAAACCGAAGGTTACTTACTTGATAATATTTTATATACGTTCTTTGTAAAAGGCTTTTTTTTAATGTTTTACTTTTAACTTCAGAAATTAATTTTATTAGGTGAATTATCTAAGCACAGAAAAGAGTGGCACCTCATTCATTACCTTTAAATCCTGCTAATCAGGGAAACGCTATAATAAGAGGACACCATTTCCCCTGCTAAGTGTGAAAGGGAAGATAATCTCAGTTGCTTGGTGTCCTTCTGTGCTTTGTAGGATATAGATTTATTTAGTTTAAAAAAATTCGTTCATTTATTTGTAAGGTCTTCTCTCTCCTCATTGTTTTGTTTGAGCTCCCCAAAGACAGATCTGCCTTACCAAAAGCATTCATAAGCATTGCATATTTTATTGAAGATTTCCCAGGGGAAGTATGGAAGCTGTTTATATTACGCAGAATGTAACATTTTGTTCCCAAAATTCCTACACTTTTATTCTTGACCACCATATTCTGGGTCTTTCTGTCTTCCTTCTTCCTTTTCTAATCTGCCTATTATGGTCTGAATGTTTGTGTCTCCCTCAAAATTCATATGTTGAAATCCTAACCACCAAGGTGGTTGGTATTAGGGGATGGGGCCTTTGGGAGGTGATTAAGTCATGAGGGTTAATCATAAGTATCTTATGAGTGGGATAAAGTGCCCTAATAAAAGAGGCCCTAGAGAGACCGTTTATATTTTCCTCCGTGTGAGGATACAATGAGAGGTGGCTGTCTGTGAACTAGGAAGTAGTCCTTCACCGGACACCAAATTGATGGTGTACTTCCCAGCCTCTCGAACTGTGAGAAATAAATTTGTTATTTATAAGCACCCAGTTTATTGTATTTTGTTACAGCAGCCTCAACAGACTAATATACTGCCCTGGGACTGCTTCTGAATTTCTTAGAATCCTCTCCTATTCCTGAATCTAGACCATTATTTTTAATTCTTGCTAAGGTTTGAACACATTACCCAAAGTTCATGGGTAGAAACTTAATCTGCAGTGCAACACTGTTGAGAGGTGGGATCTTTAAGAGATGATTAGGTCATGAGGGGTCTGCATGCATGAATGAATTAATGCTGTTACCTCAGGAGTGAGCTTCTTATCACAGGAGTGGCATCCTTATAAAGGAAGAATTCAGCCTCCTTCTCTCTCCCTCTTGCATGTGTTCTCTTGCTCTTCTGCTTTCTGCTATGGGATATTAGAAGAGCAAGAAGGTCCTTGCTAGATGCAGGTGCCTTGACCTTGGACTTCTTAGCCTCCAGAATTGTAAGAAATAAATCTCTGTTCATTATAATAAGTTGCTAGATCTGTGGTATTCTATTATAGTAGCACAAAATGGATAAAGAGATCATTTTTTAAAAAAGTTTTGAGGTATAATTGTCATACAATAATATGCACATATATAAAGTATATATTTTGATACGTGGTTTTGTTTTTGTTTTTGTTTTTGTTTTGAGGGGATAGGGGACAGAGGAGATAGCCTCACTCCGTAGCCCAGGCAAGAGTATAGTGGCACAGTGGCACATAGCTCACTGCAGCCCTTAACTCCTGGGCTCAAGTGATCCACCTACCTCAGCCTCCCAAGTAGCTAGGACTATAGGTGCATGCCACCATGCCTAGCTAATTCATTTTCTTTATTTTATTTTTGTAGAGATAGGGTCTTGCTAGGTTGCCCAGGCTGGACTCAAACTCCTGGCCTCAACTGATCCTTCTGCCTCTGCCTTCCAAAGTGCTAGGATTAGAGACATGAGCCAGCATACTTAGTTATACATTTGTATATGTTTTGACACATGTATATGCCCAGTAAACCATTACCATAATCAAGATAATGGATGTATCCATAAACCCAGTTTTATGTATTAGAATATAATTGTGATCTTGGTTTTTCCAAATTAGCATTTCTTCACCAGCAGAAATAGAAATTGGCCCCAGGCAGCAATAATTAAAAATACCGGACAGGTATGGTAGTGCATGCCTGTAATCCTAGTTATTTGGGAGGCTGAGGCAGGAGGATCTTTTTGAGGCCAGGAACTTAAGGTAACAGTATAGCAATAAAAATAATACAAATAAAAAGCAACACACTGTAACAACTATTTACATAGCATTCACATTGTTTTAGGCACTATAAATAACCTAATGATGATTTAAAATATATGGGAGGATGTGGATAGGTTATATGTGTCAACTGAAAAAAATTATGATATCTCTAAATTTGGAAAGGAGACTTTATTTAATTATATCTATAAATTTGGAAAGGAGACTATTTCTTATAAAGGGTTACAGCCTGCAAGGTGGCCATTCTGACAGCCTGAGAAACATAGCCTCCAGCAGATAACCCCAAACAGGTACTATGCAAGGATGACTGGAACAGAGACTTATGCTGAAGAGGTTGGCCAGTTGTACATATTCTACAACTTATCAGAGGGGCCATGAATATTCATGAAGTGGTTCCTGACACATGTGTACTGAACAAATGTACATGTTAGACGTGTCCCATGTTTACTTTGGGGTGGAGAATTAACATTTAAATGTATTACAGTTAGGCCCTATAAGTCAAAAGATGAAACAAGGACACCAAGGCAGTCAAGTGGGCAGCCTCTGTAAACCAGCCAGAGCCAGTCCGTGGTCAGTGGTCTTCTTATCAGGAGACCACTAACTTGTTGATAGTTACTGAAATAGCTCTCTTGTCCAGTCAAAGCTGTAGTTATGGCTTGTGGAACAGGAGTCAGTATGTTAGCATTTTGTGGTAAATGAGCTGCAATTGTTTTAGTATTACTTATCTCAAGGCCAGTGCTTATTCAATAACTGCTAGAGAAAAAGAAAAATGGCCAGGCGCGGTGGCTCAAGCCTGTAATCCCAGCACTTTGGGAGGCTGAGGCAGGTGGATCGCCTGAGGTTAGGAGTTCGAGACCAGCCTGACCAACATGGTGAAACCCCGTCTTTACTAAAAATACAAAAATTAGCTGGGCGTGGTAGCGTGTGACTGTAATCCCAGCTACTAGGGAGGCTGAAACAGGAGAATTGCTTGAACCCAGGAGGTGGAGTTTGCAGTAGGCCGAGATTGTGCCACTGCACTCCAACCTGGGCAACAGGGCAAGGCTCTGTCTCAAAAAAAGAAAAAGAAAAATATTGTAGCAGTTAGAACATAATTTATTGGTTGGTTGATTCAGACAAGGTTTCATTCTGTCTCCCAGTACACTGGCAAGATAGCTCACTGCAGCCTTGAACTGCTGGGCTCAAGTGATCCTCCTGTTTCAGCCTTCTGAGTAGCTGGGACTACAGGCATGTGCCACAATGCCAAGCTAATTTTTAAATTTTTTGTAGAGATAGGGGTCTCGCTATGTTATCCAGGCTGGTCTCGAACTCCTGGCCTCAAGTGATTCTCTCGTCTTGGCATCCCAAAGTGCTGGGATTACCATGTGAGCCACCACACCTGGCAGTTTATTCTTTAAGTGTAGAGATACATGACTTAATCCTTGCCTGGCATAGCTTTAGGTTTTGTTTGCAATTTGGTATCTTTCTGCCACAAAGAGTCTGTCAGTCTTATGATCTTTATTTTAACATTAATGCTGTTTAGTTGTTGCATCTAAGCTGCAAAAGGGATTGGGTATAATGAGATGTGTCTGACTGCCCATCCCCTCATGACCAGTATCTGTTTTTAAGGATTTTCTGGGGCCCCCTTGGCCAAGAGAGGGAGTCTGTTCAGTTGGGTGGGGTGCTTAGGATTTTCTTTTTAGTTTTCACATGCAAATACCATGCCATTTTATATGAGGCTTGAGCACCTGCAGATTTTAGTGTCCTTGGGGGTTTTGTAACTAATCCCCTATGGATACTGAGGTACAACTGGTAACAATTTTTTAAGTCACAAACATATTTTTAAAGTTTCTTCATTTTTTAAAATGTGATTGTATTAGTTTTCTAGGGCTGCCATAACAAAGCACCACAAACTAGGTAGCTTAGAACAACAGATATTTATTATCTCACAGTTCTGAAGGCTAAAAGTCTAAAATCAAAGTGTCAGCAGGGCCATGCTTTCTCTAAAACCTGTAGGGGAAAATTCTTTCTTCTCTCTTGCTTCTGGGATGACTACAATTCTTGGGGTTCCTTGGCCTGCAGCTGTATCATTCTAATCCCTGCCTGTCTTATCACATGGCTTTTTTTTCTGTTTGTGCTTTTCTTCTTATAAGGGCAGCAGTCATATTATGTTGGGTCCCACCCTAATGACCTCATCTTAACTTGATTATACCTACAAAGACTCTGTTTCCAGATAATCTCGCATACACAGGTACTTTAAGGTTAGGACTTCAGTATATCTTTAGGGGGATAAAGTTCAGCTTATAACAACAATATTTCAAACATACATATAATACATACCTCCACCTAGCTTTACTATTTCTTAACATTGCATCCTATGTCCCTGATTTGATTTTTTAAAAATATTAAAACTAAGGTGAGGTTTTCATTGTATCCCTTCATGATCCCATTCTTCCCTCTACAGAGGTTACTACTTTCATGAATTTGGTGATTCATTTCTCATGCTGGCTGTAATACATTTATAACATGTTTATGTGTCCTAAAACATTGTCAACTACTTTGCAGTTTTAAAGTTTTATTTTTTTTATTATTATTTTTTTATTTTATTTTATTTTTTATTTTACTTTATTTATTTATTTATTTATTTATTTTTGAGACGGAGTCTCGCTCTTGCCAGGCTGGAGTGCAGTGGCCGGATCTCAGCTCACTGCAAGCTCCGCCTCCCGGGTTCACGCCATTCTCCTGCCTCAGCCTCCCGAGTAGCTGGGACTACAGGCGCCCGCCACCTCGCCCGGCTAGTTTTCTGTATTTTTTAGTAGAGACGGGGTTTCACCGTGTCGGCCAGGATGGTCTCGATCTCCTGACCTCGTGATCCGCCCGTCTCGGCCTCCCAAAGTGCTGGGATTACAGGCTTGAGCCACCGCGCCCGGCCTAAATAATATACATTAGTTCCCCCTTATCTGCACAGATCTGTTCCAAGACCCTCCCAGTGGATGTCTGAAACCATAGATATTCCCAAACCCTATATATACTGTTTCTTCCTATACATACATATCTATGATAAAGATTAATTTAAAAATTAGTCACAGTAAGATATTAACAACAACAATAAAATAGTACTATTATAACAACATACTATAATAAAAGTTATGTTAATATGGTCACTTGTGCTCTTAAAATATCTTACTGTACTCACTCTTCTTGTGATCTATAAGTCTGATAACCAAAATGGCCACTAAGTGACTAACAGGCAGATAGCATGTGGATACACTGGACAACAGGATCATTCAGGTCCCAGGTGGGATAAAGAGGGAGGCAAGTGATTTTATCATGTTACTCAGAATAGTGTGCAATTTAAAGTTTATTAATTGTTCATTTCTGGAAATTTCCATTTAATATTTTTGGACCTCTGTTAACCACAGGTGACTGAAACCTTGGAAAGCAAAACCATGGATCAGGGGGTACTACTGTACTATACAGATGATTTTGTCATTTGCTTTTCCTCTGAATATTATATTTTTTGATATTTATCCATCTTGAAACATATTTTAACTTCTATGTAGTATTTCATTGTGTGTATCTCATTTTACCTGTTCTCTTGTTGATAGACATTTACCTTTTTTTCCCTAAGTTTTGCTCTTAAAAACAGTATTTCAGTGAACATCCTGTATTTTGTACGCAGGTATCAGAGTTTTTCAAAGATGGAATGTCTCTTGACCTTTACTAGATTTTGCCAAATTACTCATGAAAGTGGTTGCAATAATTTATGCTGCTATTAACAGTGTATAAGAGGTCATGTTTGTCCTAGTCTTTGCTAACACTTTGTATTGTTATACCTAAAGATGTTTGCATATTTGGCATGTTTGAAAAGATACTATACTGCTGTTTTAAATTTTTGTTGCTGGGTTATTTTAAGGAATAAACTGTATTTATAAAGTGCTTAGCCCTAGTAATCACTCAGTTATTGTAGCTTTCTCTTTTCTCCCTACTTCCACCACGTATATTTGATCTTTTTAAGATTAATTTATTCTTTCTTTCTCTTAGACATTTTTAGTCTTTTTTCAAGTGAATCTGGAAACTATGTTATACGGGAAGAAATGGAAAGAATGCTCCATGTGGTGGATGGTAAAGTCCCAGATACACTCAGGAAGTGCTTCTCAGAGGTATATTTAAAGATTTACATTTTATCCCTTTTCGTTGACAAAGTATTAACTCTTAGTCGTGTAATAAGTTTTAAGTATGACAAACAGATGTTTATGTGCAGATTACTTTTGGTATTTTTATATTTATTGATGTTTCTATTTATGTGCTATTCCATGACTCTCATTACTGCTATATTTGTGAATCTGAAAATTTTCAATTCTACTGTAAAGGCAACTATTCATACTTAGAGTATAATGAAACACAATCCTATATGCACACATTAACACAGCAATACACACACACACACACACACACATTCCTGCAGGAACCTGAAACAGTGCTCATGTTGTAGTGTCTTTGCTTTTCATCATGGATATCATTCACTCATTAGCCTTGAGCCATCTGTGACCTGTTTTATCAAGGCCTATTTTGTCATTTATTTCACCTAGTTGATTTGCATAGTGAAATATTTGTGTTAAAAAATTGTCATCTTTGGGCCAGGCAAGGTGGCTCACACCTGTAATCCAAGTACTTTGGGTGACCCAGGCGAGAAGATCTCTTGAGCCCAGGAGTTCAAGATCAGCCTGGACAATGTAGCAAGACCCCAACTCTACCAGAGGGGGGAAAAATCATTTTTTCTGTTTTCAAAAATAATATATTTTCATTGTGCCTTTATAGAAAAATTAAACAATAGAAGCAATTCAATGATAGAAAAAGTATATCTTTTAACAGAGAGAATTATTTTATTTTTCTTTTCAGAGGTCTGCTAGTATGTGAAAAGTCCTTAGTGATTGTAGAGTAAACATCCCTTTAGAAGTTCTGATTTGGCCGGGCGCAGTGGCTCACACCTGTAATCCCAACACTTTGGGAGGCCGAGGCGGGTGGATCACGGGGTCAGGAGATTGAGACCATCCTGGCTAACACGGTGAAACCCCCGTCTCTACTAAAAAATACAAAAGAAAATTGGCCGGGCGTGGTGGCGGCGCCTGTAGTCCCACAGGCGAATGGCATAAACCCGGGAGGCAGAGCTTGCAGTGAGCCGAGATCGTGCCATTGCACTCCAGCCTGGGCAACAGAGCGAGACTCCGTCTCCAAAAAAAAAAAAAAAATCCAAGAAGTTCTGATTCGTTCATGCAGCACGGAGTGCTGCCCAGTTTCTTATGGGTGGCTTTTTGACACAATTCCGTTTCACCAGTATGACAGTCCTTCATTGTTCTTTATTTTATTTGGGGAGTTAGCTCTGCCTTCATGACTGTATAGACATTGATTGTCCGTATTTCAGTCATTTGCATGTATCTGGTTCTGATGTATATTTGGACTGTCTATCATTAGTTTCTTACCCCTCTGGTTTTGAATATCTCCTGTGTTGATATCCCCTGGTGATATCTCTTTCTTGCTTTTGAGCTTAGCGTGCAGTTTTTGGCGGTGGTTATGTTGTTAACATTTTATCCAGCATTTCCAAGTGTCAGGTGCAAAAGGATGCGCTTCCTGTGTTTTTGGTTCTGACATATTGACTGGAATTTGCTGTGATAGCAATTTACAACTTCAGGACAAACTGAGCTATGATTTGTTTTTTTCCCCATAATAAAAATTTGCTTGTAAGAAAAAAAGATAATCTAGCAAACCTGACTGATTGGATTTTTGACATAGATGTCCAAAACATTAATACTCTTTTTTCTTTTTCAGAAAGTATGATATTTTTTCATTTTAATAAGGTTTATGCAGACATTCTCATTTTTGCAGATGGAAACTAAGTGTGGTTGGCCACCCAGTACTCTAACAATTTAAGCACAATAGCAGGCACATGTATTAGCTGATAATTAGGGCTATAGGGGAAAATAAAGTAGAATAAAGGAAGAAGGTGGTAATATCGAAAATCTGAATCTTGTTATTTTATATAGAATGGTTAGGTCTGTCAGATAAGTAAGATTTGAGTAAAGAATTTATAGCAAGTGAGAAAGAAAACCATGAAGATATCTGGGGGACCACTTTTCATCAAGAGAATATAGCAAAGACCTTGAGGTGGGGGTATAGTTGTATGTCCAAGGAACAATAACAAGGCCAATTTAATTGGAATGATGTGAACAGGGGAGTGGTAGGAAATGATTATATATTGTCCTATAGAACAGTGTGAGTCCTTTGACTTTTACCCTGAGTGAGATAGAAACCACTGGAAGGTTTTGAGTAGAGGAGTAACAAAATATGAGTTGCTTTTTTTTTTTAACACGTGATAACTTTGGATCTTATGTGGGAATTAGGTTGAACTGAGTCCAGTTGAGGTATCTGAATAATCCAGGCATGAGGATTATGATTACCAAAGGTCAATGATTTAATCAATCATTTAGATCATGGTGTAGCAGTGAGGTAATGAGAAGTTTTTAGATTCTGCGTTTATTTCAGAGGTAGAGTTGGCCTAGAATTTTTTCTTGTATTGATTAGGGACTATGTGACAGAATGAGTAGAGGGAAGATGATTAGTATTTAGCCTGATTCAGTAAATGAATGGAGTTACTACTACCTGAGATGGCTAAGAGTAATGGAGAAGCAGATTAGGGGGTTGGATGTCAAAAAAGATGTAATTACACTTGAGAATCCTATTAGACACTCAAGTGGAGTTGTCAAATGTGATTTTTGATATATAAATTTGTTGTTAAGGAGAAAGGATTTGTTGTTGGCTTACAGGTGAGGATGAGATCATCTAGGAGTAAGTGTAGATAGAAAACAGGTTGGAAGAGTGAGTCCTGTAATCCAGTGTTTAGAGTTTGAAGAGATGAAGAGGACTCAGAACAGATCAATAAGAAATGGCCTGCAAGAAAAGAGGATTAATAAAAGAGAATAGTGTCCTAGAAGCCAACTGAGGCCAACGTTTCAAGAAGGAAGGAGAACTCAACTATGTCAAATACCCTGAAAGGTCTAGTGAGTTGACCTTTGATCACTGAGAAGTGATCATTAAATTTGGTGACCTGCAGGTAGGTCATTGGTGTAGGTCCTGTGGAATTAAAAAATTGCTGGTGTCAGTATGCTAGATGGAATATACTCATAAGAGGAAATTGTGATGGAAAGTTGGAATGCTTCAGTTTCAATAATGGGAAGGGGAAGTAACTATAATAAAGACATCATAAGACTATGGTAATTAATGCCTAAGTTGGTGGTATTTTTAATAAGATCTTTAGAGAAGAAAAGATCAAAGAAATGTGAAGCTCATGTATATGGCTATTTGAATTATTAGATACCTCTAGTTGGTATAAAACCAACCTTGTAAATGGGCTATTGGTATTTGATTCAACTATTTGATTTATTTGCCTGCTCTAATATCTGAGTAGTGTGTCTGATGATTGTATGTAGAACCTTGCTATCCAAGTATTTATATTAGAATAGGTTAGTTCAGACCTTCAATAACAATACTTTGTGTTGTTTTTGTGTTTACACACACACACACACACACACACACAAAGAAAAGCACTTTAGGTAAAATAAAAGGACTTAGTGCTTAGATTTAAGTGATATGGGTCTCAGCTTTTTCTGTCTTGTGCTTTATTATTACCCTTGACAGATGAAGTTATAAAGAAATCCACCTAGGTGTTGTATGAATTTTTCTTTGTCACTGACTTCTTTTAGGTTGTTGACTCTTAAAATGGAAATTTATATTTTATACTATTCTTCTCTTTTTAGAAGAGATTCATGACTCAAAAACAAAAAATCAGATTTGACAGTGTAATTTTTGGTCTACCAATTTTGTGGAATGATTCCCAATTAGCCAGTGAACTTCAGCGATTACTTTGTATTTCACTTAGACAGGCAGTGTGCTAACTTTGGAGCCTGGACTACCTGAGTTCAGTCCTCTTTCTTCCACTGTATAACAGTACGCAAATTCCTTAACCTTTTGGTGTCTTGGTTTTCTTATGGTAAAATGGGGATAATAATAGTGCCTTCTGTAGGGAGTGTTTTGAAGATTAAATTAGTATTTGAAATATTTAGAACAGTCACTAGGACATTGTAAACATTTGGTATTAGCTATATGTGAAGGTGGTAGAAGGGTCTACCTGGAGATAGCATCAGATCCCACAGGTTGAGGGATTAGTTCCACAAAACTGCCCCCTAGACATCTTCACTAGTGATTATGATTGATTAAATCGTTGATCACTGGTAATCAGCCCAACTTTCAGCCCTCTCCCCTCCCTCCCTAGAGGTTAATCATTTTTTTTTTCCTTTGGCCAGCCCCCATCCTGAGGCTATCTAGCAGCCCCCTACCCAGCCTTGGGTCAATTCATTAGCATGCAGAGTCATTTATCACTTTGGAGACTACAAGAATTTTAGGAGTTGCATGCCAGCAAAAGAGATGAAGACCAAATATATATTTAACAATATTACAACCGCTAAGAAATTACAATTAAAGGATGCTATTGATTTTAAGACTTATCCCAATGTCAGAGATGTTAATGTGGTAAAAATGTGCATCAGTTTGTAGAATTTATACTACTAAGCTTCTTTCTAGACTAAATGTGGGATACAGAAAGAATATGGGAGGAACTCTCATTTCTAAACATGTTGGCGGTGTACTCATATGTCCCTACAACATGTCTGAATGTCATTGTCAATGTCAAAATAAAAGTGTATAGAGCATACATGCAGACTGGGTGGTCTTCAATATGTCCAAATAACAAAGAAAGATTGGGAGTTTTCTAAAAAAGGGAGTGTTACATGTGATCCTGAGAGAAAGTTCTTTGGTGTTAGTAAAGCTTTAGGGAGCTGGCAAACTCCAATTGGTGGGCGATGGTGGTGGGCAGAATTAGTTGCAGCAAATCATCTCAGCAGCTGGACTTACAGAGAATTTATTTCAAGAGCAATGTATCCTGAATGCTTCTCCCCTGGACCTGTTGACTCTGATTTAGTTATGACCCAATTTGTATGATCAACTTTCACACCATATTCTTCTGTTCAGAAAAACAAGACTGTCAATGTCTTGATTGCTTGGATTGCACTCATGGTAAATGTTCTGAAACTACCAGGCTAAGAGTATTGTCTCACTTAATAGGATGCTACTAAACAATGTAGATATGTTTCTACCGTATCTCTTTTAGGTAACTAATTATTTGTATTCTTTAACATGTCTATTAGGATTAGAGCTGCTCTAATCTTGACTGTCATTATTCATTGTATTTCTTTCTTTTTTTTTCCTGATCAAATAGTTTAGGTTGTAACTTCATTGTATTTCCTTGTGAATTGCTTCTCCCTTTTTCTGCTTAGAAATACCTGGCTCCCACTAAACCTAGGATCTCTTGTCTTCCAAGCAAAGGGATTGGCTTGAACAACCATATGATGCTCTTTTTCAGCCTGGATACTTTTCTCCAGAGATTTATCAAGACAATTACCTGGAAAGAAAGCAAAGAAACAGAAATCAACTTGCTTCTTTTTGTTCTCTGTGTGCATATATGTTTTCAGTGATGCCTTCTGGGATCCTGATTGTCTACTCTAGGAGGACACCTGAATAGTTGTTATTAATTCACAAATAGAATTTAAAGAGTATTTTAATTCCATACAGATTTAATTACAATATAGTAACTCAGGCAGATTAAAGAGTGCTAAAGAAGAGGGATAAGGCAAACGAAAAATTGGATTTATTAAATGTTTAAAGAAATGCAGATGGCTGGACACGGTGGCTCACGCCTGTAATCCCAGCACTTTGGGAGGCTGAGATGGGCAGATCACGAGATCAGGAGATCAAGACCATCCTGAGCTAACATGGTGAAAGCTCGTCTCTACTAAAAAATACAAAAAATTAGTTGGGCGTGGTGGCAGGCACCTGTAGTCCCAGCTACTCGGGAGGCTGTGGCAGGGGAATGGCATGAACCCGGGAGGTGGAGCTTGCAGTGAGCCGAGATCACGCCACTGCACTCAAGCCTGGGTGACAGAGCAAGACTCCGTCTCAAAACAAACAAACAAACAAACAAAAACAACAACAAAAAAATGCAGTTTACTGATTTTAGGATATATTTTAGCAAACAAAATCTGGCTTATTGGCAGTGTACTGCTTTACTGAATTGATGAAATAATTTGTAATTAACATACAGATTTTATGCAAGTAGAAGTTATGAAGTACAATTATTTTTTAAAACAGTTTGATTTCCATATATATACACACACACACACACACACACACACAGCAGTGTTATTAGATAATCCTTCTTTTATAGATATCAGAAAGGTAAATACCAACTAATTGTGATTTTCAGGTTGTGTAGGTTCCAAGTAAGATACCTTAAAATTTGACTAAACTTATGTTTTCTTGTTTTAATTTTAGGGTGAAAAGGTAAACTATGAAAAGTTTAGAAATTGGCTTTTTCTAAACAAAGATGCTTTTACTTTCTCTCGATGGCTTCTATCTGGAGGTGTGTATGTTACCCTCACTGATGATAGTGATACTCCTACTTTCTACCAAACTCTGGCTGGAGTCACGCATTGTAAGTAATGACATTTCATTGTTTTCTTTTTGTCTTTTTAAAAATATATAATTGACTGGTAATATGAGAATATGCTTATAAAGGAGAAATTTATTTAAATTTTTAAATTTTTTATTTTTTTGAGACAGGGTCTCGCTCTGTCCCAGGCTGGAGTGCAGTGGCACCATTGTGGCTTACGGCAGTCTCAACATCCTGGGGTCAACCAATCCTCTCACCTCATCCTTCTGAGCCCCTGGGACTACAGGCATTCACCACTATGCCTGGCTAATTTTTTTTATCTTTTGTAGAGACTGCAGGGGTCTATGTTGCCTATGTTGGTCTTGAACTCTTGGGCTCAAGTAATCCTCCCACCTCAGTTTCCCAAGGTGCTAGGATTACAGTCGTGAGTCACTGTGCCCAGCCGAGACTTTTTTTTCTTTTTTTTGAAGTGGAGTCTCTGTCGCCCAGGCTTGAGGGCAGTGGCGTGATCTTGGCCCACTGCAAGCTCCGCCTCCCAGGTTCACGCCATTCTCCTGCCTCAGCCTCCCGAGTAGCTGGGACTACAGGCGCCCACCACCACACCTGGCTAATTTTTTTGTATTTTTAGTAGAGTCATGGTTTCACCATGTTAGCCGGGATGGTCTTGATCTTCTGACCTCGTGATCCACCTGCCTCAGCCTCCCAACGTGCTGGGATTACAGGCATGAGCCACGACTCCCGGCCTGAGAAACTTTTTTTTGTCAGTATTTTTTTTTTTTTCAAAATGTAATAAAAAGAAATGTTGGGCATGGAAAATATAGCCCTCTGTGAATTGTCCTTAACTAAGCTATATTAGTTTCCTAGGGTTGCTGTAACAAATTACCACAATTCGGCCTGGCGCAGTGGCTCAAGCCTGTAATCCCAGCACTTTGGGAGGCCGAGACAGGTGGATCACGAGGTCAGGAGATCGAGACCATCCTGGCTAACACGGTGAAACCCCGTCTCTACTAAAAAATACAAAAAACTAGGCGGGCGAGGTGGCGGGCGCCTGTAGTCCCAGCTACTTGGGAGGCTGAGGCAGGAGAATGGCGTAAACCCAGGAGGCGGAGCTTGCAGTGACCTGAGATCTGGCCACTGCACTCCAGCCTGGGCGACAAAGCGAGACTCCGTCTCAAAACAAAAACAAAAACAAAAAAAACAAATTACCACAATTCATAAACTGAAACGAGACATTTAACTCAGTTTTAGCAGCTGAAATCAAGATGTTTATATGACTGTATTCCCTCTGGAGTCCTGTTATAGAACTGGAGTTGGGTCTGCTTACCTGGCTCAGTAAAATCACATATCTACACCAGAGTTTTTGTAGCAGTAGAAAGGAAGACATTTATAGGGCATTAAGCAAAGAGGACCAGGTATATGCTCAAAGCCTGACCTCCCCAAGGCTCACGGGTAGGGGTTTTTAAAGGCAAGGATAACTTTCAGGAATATAGAAGCTACAGGCAAAAATCATAAATCAATAAATGAAGGCTACTCATTGGTTTTGGCCTAAAAGGGTGGGATATCTTGAAGTGGGGGGAGGCTTACAGGTAGGTAATAGGTAGGTAGACAGATTTAAAGGTTTTCTGATTTGCAATTGGTTAAGGAAGAGAAGCATCTTTTTAAAATTTGAGGTCAGCAGAAAAGAACATCAACTGGCTCATGGGTATGACTCCCTCCAGGCCCTTCAGGAAGAAATTAATTAATTAATTAATTTGAGATGGAGTATTGCTCTGTCGCCCAGGCTGGAGTGCAGTGGCACGATCTCTGCTCACTGCAACCTCCACTTCCCAGGTTCAAGTGATTCTTCTGCCTCAGCCTCCTGAGTAGCTGGGATTATAGGTGTCCACCACTTCGCCCAGCTAAATTTTTTGTATTTTTAGCAGAGAAGGGGTTTCACCATGTTGGCCAGGCTGGTTTCAAACTCCTGACCTCAAGTGATCCACCAGCCTCAGCCTCCCAAAGTGCTAGGATTACAGGCATGAGCCACCACACCCAGCTTGGGAAGAAATTTAGAACAAAGAAGGATAGTAAGCATTGAATCTTTAGTTCCCCTGTGGTCTAAGGTCTGATCAGCTCAGTGTGGGTTCTTGGTGAGGGAGGGGGTCTGTTCTTCTGAATGACAACTCGGGCACATATTAAGATGTTATCTTTAGTTGCTATAGGGAAATCAAACATCTTCTTTTAGGCTACTATTACTTTCTGGCGTAACAAGTTACTTATTTCTCAGGGCTGGCTAGATAGATGCCTAGAGTTTCACTTGAAGGAACTCAGGAATATCCTTTATTTCCATGCATGCAGGGACCCCTAGGCCCCTCGGCCCCTCAAAAGGTGCTTCCTGCTCTGCCTCAGTCCCTAGAAAAGAATTATTCCTTGCCTCTTCAATTTTTTGGTGACCCCAAGCATTCCTTGGTTTGTGGCAGCATCTCCCATTCTTTGCCTCTGTCTTCTCCTGGCCTTCTCTATGTGTTTCTGTGTCCTTTCCTCTTGGATTCAGGGTCCATGATAAATCCAGGATAATTTTACCTCAAGGTCCTTAATTCATTACATCCGCAAAGACCCTGTTTCCAAATAAGGCCGTACTCTGAGGTTCCAGATAGTCATGAGTGTTCGGGAGACAGTATTCAATTCACTACACAGGCCTAAGTGTTAATTTCTACTGTTCTTCTTTCCATTGGATACAGAAAACTGTTAATACACTCTGCTTTTCTGTTTTTTTTGTTTTGTTTTGTTTTGTTTTGTTTTTGACACACAGTCTCTCTCTTTTGCCTGGGCTGGAGTGCAGTGGTGTGATCTCAGTTTACTGCAGCCTCCACCTCCTGGATTAAAGTGATTCTCCTGCCTTGGCCTCCCAGGTAGCTGTGATTACAGGCATGCACTACCATGTCTGGCTAATTTTTGTATTTTTATTAGAGACGGGGCTTCACTATGTTGGCCAGGCTGGTCTTGAACTCCTGACCTCAGGTGATCCACCTGCCTCAGCCTCCCAAAGTGTTGGGATTACAGGTGTGAGCCATTGTGCCTGGGCTGCTTTTCCTTATGCTTCTTTCTATCACTAAAATGCCTTCTCTTTTTCTTCTGCCTGTTAAATCCTAACAATCATGCATGAAGACTTAAATCACATACTCTCTTTTTTTTCATGAAACCTTTTCTTGCCTTCTTATCAGAAATTATCTCTCATTTCTCTAACTCTGATAACACCTTACTTGTACCTTTCTTCAATTAATTTATCCCATTCATCTTTGTATTATAACTATTTATAGCATTCTGCTTATTTGTACATGTCATGTCTCCTAACTCATAGGATCCTTTCTGGCATAGGGGGTCTGCATTATTATTCTATCTTTCCTCTCTTGGGCCAAGCCTAAATAAGTATTTGTTGACTAAATAGAGGAATTTGGGTGTCAAGTGCTATTTGTATCCATTGCTTTATATGACATATAACTTGACTACTGATTACATATCAACTACTTTCTCCCATTTTCATTCTGTTATTATTAAAAGTTCTGACTGGTAAGTTCTGGCATAAATAGGCAATAAGCTTCATTCTACTACTTTTCAGTGCCCTTGTCTTTAAGTAGGAAAGCCTTTAAAAAAAATTATTTTGCGGCCGGGCGCGGTGGCTCAAGCCTGTAATCCCAGCACTTTGGGAGGCCGAGATGGGCGGATCACAAGTTCAGGAGATCAAGACCATCCTGGCTAACACGGTGAAACCCCGTCTCTACTGAAAAATACAAAAATCTAGCCGGGCGAGGTGGCGGGCGCCTGTAGTCCCAGCTACTCGGGAGGCTGAGGCAGGAGAATGGCGTGAACCTGGGAGGCGGAGCTTGCAGTGAGCTGAGATCCGGCCACTGCACTCCAGCCTGGGCGACAGAGGGAGACTCCGCCTCAAAAAAAAAAAAAAAAAATTATTTTGCTTAAAATATTGAGGGAACCTTTTTATACTCACTGTGTAAACTCTAACTTACCTTAATATTTAAGTTGTCAGTCATATGAATATTCTGTTGAACTTTCACTTTTATTTGTGATTGTATGGTAAATTATTTTTCTGTTAATATTGACAAGAGTGTGACTGCTTTCCTTAAATGCCTTGTTGTGTTAAAGAAAAAATTATTCTGATATTTGTTAAAACAGTAAGGAAGACATTATTCAAGACTACTGCAATTAAGGGTATTGCAGTAAGAGAGAGAGATAAGCTCAACTCTCAATATAACAACAACAAGTGGGGATTTATAGCCAAGAATTAAGGTGAGGTGGTCAGTGGATGGAAAAATTACAAAGAGGAGACATCAAAGGTAGGGGATTCTTGCTAAAATGGCCCCAATTGAGGGGAATGACTATTGCTGGATTCTTATCTAAAACTGGTCTAGGATAAACCAATGACAGGAAGGGGACCAAGAATGAAACTTAGTAGAAGTGAGCTTAGAGGAACCTAAAAAATTTGGTCAGGGAGCTAGTCTTTGTCAGTTGATTAAAAAATTACTTTGAATGCAGAAGCTGCATATTGTCTGTTTTTGAAAGCACTGTATTAGTAGAGAAAACAAATTTATTTAATCAGTCAAATAATTTTCAATATGTTAAAAATGGCTACATTTTATTTGAAAATAATATTTTCTATTTACCTTTTTATTAATTGGGAAGTTTTTTGGATTTTTAATAGTATCTAAAAGTTAAAAATACTTTTGCCTTGTTAAGAAATCTTGAATTAGGCTGGGCGTGGTGGCTCACGCCTGTAATCCCAACAGTTTGGGAAACCGAGGCGGGCGGATCACAGGGTCAGGAGTTCGAGACGAGCCTGGCAAATATGGTGAAACACCGTCTCTACTAAAAAAATATATACAAAAATTAGACTACAGGTGGCAGGCGCCTGTAGTCCCAGCTACTCGGGAAGCAGAGGCAGGAGAGTCACTTGAACCTGGGAGGCAGAGGTTGCAGTGAGCCAAGATCATGCCACTGCACTCTAGCCTGGGTGACAGGGCGAGACTCCGTCTCAAATAAAAAAACCA